AGAATATCTAGGCATGATCATGTATATAGGCATCACGTCCACAACAAGTAGATCGAAACGATTCTACATCTACTACTATTACTCCACAAATCGACCGACTCCTGCCTGCATCTAGAGTATTATGTTCATAAGAACAGAGTAACACATTAAGTAAGATGACATGATGTAGAGGGATAAACTCATGCAATATGATATAAACCCCATCTTTTTATCCTCGATGGCAACAATACAATATGTGCCTTGCTGCCCCTACTATCACTGGGAAAGGAAACCGCAAGATTGAACCCAAAGCTAAGCACTTCTCCCATTGCAAGAAAGATCAATCTAGTAGGCCAAACCAAACTGATAATTCGAAGAGACTTGCAAAGATAACCAATCATACATAAAAGAATTCAGAGGAGATTCAAATATTTCTCATAGATAAACCTGATCATAAACCCACAATTCATCGGATCTCGACAAACACACCGCAAAAAGAGTTACATCGAATAGATCTCCAAGAAGAGGAAGGAGAACTTTATATTGAGAATCAAAGAGAGAGAAGAAGCCATCTAGCTAATAACTATGGACCCGAAGGTCTGTGGTAAACTACTCACAACTCATCGGAGAGGCCTTGGTGATGATGGAGAGGCCCTCCGTGGTCGATTCCCCCTCCGGCGGAGCGTCGGTGAAGGCTCCAAGATGGGATCTCACGGATACAGAAGGTTGCGACGGTGAAATTAGGTTTTCGTGGTGCTCCTGGATGGTTTCAGGGTACGTAGATATATATAGGAGGAAGAAGTAGGTCGGTGGACGCTCAAGGGGCCCACGAGGGTGGGGGGCGTGCCCACCCTTACAGGGCGCGCTGGGCACCCTCGTGGCCGCCTCGTCCGCTTCTTGACGTCCACTCCAAGTCTCCTGGTTTGCATTTGTTCCAAAAAGATCGCTCCTGAAGGTTTCATCCCGTTTGGACTCCGTTTGTTATTCCTTTTCTTCGAAACACTGAAATAGGCAAAAAAAAAACAATTTGAGCTGGGCCTCCGGTTAGTAGGTTAGTCCCAGAAATGATATAAAAGTGTAAAGTAAAGCCCATAAATATCCAAAACAGGTAATATAATAGCATGGAACAATCAAAAAATATAGATACATTGGAGATGTATCAATCATCTTGTGCCTTTGATCTCCGTCTTTGAAGCGCGACATGATCACCTTCGTCACCGGCATGACACCATGATCTCCATCGTCATGATCTCCATCATCGTGTCTCCATGAAGTTGTCTCGCCAACTATTACTTCTACTACTATGGCTAACGATTAGTAATAAAGTAAAGTAATTACATGGCATTGTTCAATGACACACAAGTCATACAATAAATTAAGACAACTCCTATGGCTCCTGCCGGTTGTCATACTCATCGACATGCAAGTCGTGATTCCTATTACAAGAACATGATCAATCTCATACATCAAATATCAGTCATCACATTCTTTTGGCCATATCACATCACATAGCATACCCTGCAAAAACAAGTTAGACGTCCTCTAATTGTTGTTGCATGTTTTACGTGGCTGCTACGGGTTTCTAGCAAGAACGTTTCTTACCTATGTAAAGCCACAACGGTGATATGCCAATTGCTATTTACCCTTCATAAGGGACCCTTTTCATCGAATCCAATCCGACTAAAGTGGGAGAGACTGGCACCCGCTAGCCACCTTTATGCAACAAGTGCATGTCAGTCGGTGGAACTTGTCTCACGTAAGTGTACGTGTAAGGTCGGTCCGGGCCGCTTCATCCCACAATACCGTCGAAACAAGATAGGACTAGTAACGGTAAGCATATTGAACAAAACCAACGCCCACAACTACTTGTGTTCTACTCGTGCATAGAATCTACGCAATAGACCTAGCTCTGATACCACTGTTGGGGAACGTAGCAATAATTCAAAATTTTCTACGCAACACCAAGATCAATCTATGGAGATTCTAGCAACAAGAGAGGGAGAGGATGAGCATCTTCATACCTTTGAAGATCGCTAAGAGGAAGCATTACTAGAACGCGGATGAGGGAGTCGTACTCGAGGCGATTCAAATCGCGGAAGATCTGATCTACACCGAACAGACGGTGCCTCCGTGTTCAACACACGTACAACCCGGGGACGTCTCCTCCTTCTTGATCCAGCAAGGGAAGAGGAGAAGTTGAGGGAAAGCTCCGGCAGCACGACGGCGTGGTGGTGGAGCTTGCAGTTCTCCGGCAGGGCTTCGCCAAGCACTACGGAGGAGGAGGTGGAGTTGGAGAGGGGTAGGGCTGCGCCAGGGGAAGCGCTGTGCAGCCCTCCCAAACACCCACTATATATAGGGGAAGGGAAAAGGGGGCCGGCCCCCTTAGATCTCATCTAGGGGGGGCAAGGGGGGGGGGGACTTGGAGGCGCCCCCACCCCCTAGGGTTGTCAACCCTAGGCGCCTTGGGCCCTAGGGGGGAGGGGGTGCACCAGCCGACTAGGGGGCTGGTTCCCACCCTTGTTCAGCCCACTAAGTCCCTCGTGACAGGTGGACCCACCCGGTGGACCCCCGGACACCTTCCGGTGGTCCCGATGCAATACTGGTAACCCCCGAAATTATTCCGGTGACTGAAACTGGACTTCCCATATACAAATCTTTACCTCCGGACCATTCCGAAACTCCTCGTAACGTCTGGATCTCATCCGGGACTCCGAACAACATTCGGTAACTGCATACTAATTTCCCATATCAACTCTAGCGTCACCGAACTTTAAGTGTGTAGACCCTACTGGTTCGGGAATCATGCAGACATGACCGAGACAACTCTCCGGCCAATAACCAACTAGGGGATCTAGATACCCATGTTGGTTCCCACATGTTCCACGATGATCTCATCGAATGAACCACGATGTCGGGGATTCAATCAATCCCGTATACAGTTCCCTTGTGTCAATCGATACGTTACTTGCCCGAGATTCGATCGTCGGTATCCCAATACCTCGTTCAATCTCGTTACCGGCAAGTCACTCTACTCGTTACGTAATGCATGATCCCGTGACCAACTACTTAGTCACATTGAGCTCATTACGATGATGCATTACCGAGTGGGCCCAGAGATACCTCTCCGTCATACGGAGTAACAAATCACAGTCTCGATTCGTGCCAACCCAACAGACACTTTCGGAGATACATGTAGTGCACCTTTATAGCCTCCCAGTTACGTTGCGACGTTTGGTACACCCAAAGCATTCCTACGGTATCCGGGAGTTACACAATCTCATGGTCTAAGGAAATGATACTTGACATTAGAAAAAGCTTTTAGCAAACGAACTACACGATCTTGTGCCATGCTTAGGATTGAGTCTTGTCCATCACATCATTCTCCTAATGATGTGATCCCGTTATCAATGACATCCAATGTCCATGATCAGGAAACCATAACCATCTATTGATCAACGAGCTAGTCAACTAGAGGCTCACTAGGGACATGTTGTGGTCTATGTATTCACGCATGTATTACGGTTTCCGGTTAATACAATTATAGCATGAACAATAAATAATTATCATGAACAAAAAATATAATAATAACCATTTTATTATTGCCTCTAGAGCATATTTCCAACAGCACCGACTTGGAGTCTTCTATAACCGGAGCTATATAAGTGCACCAGGGGCACTATAGAGGGGGGGGGGGGTCCTTTAGCCTAGATAGGCCTACACCACATAGAAGATTTTTGGCACTTCCTGTCGAAATCACTACCATCATCACTAGAACTCGTTGAGTTCCCTCACTTGGTGAGTACCCCTTAACATTATAATCCTCTATATTCTCCATATTTAAAAAATAAGCAAGACATGGAGTAGGGCGTTTATCCATCTTGGATGCGTGAACCTGGGTATATTGTGTCCTTGTTTTCTGTATTCTAGACCCCTGGTATTCGGACATGACGTCCCTCGACTAGAAATTCCATGTACTCCCACTAGTAGTACTGTTAGGTATGACGAAAAATCACTTGACTTTTATCATGCTTGAAAGTTGCAATGTTGCTTTGACCTCCAAGAAAGAAATCACTTTCAGTTTTTCCCACACCATTTTAATTACCAGTGTTTCATAATTACGCCGCGGTTTGTGTTACCCATTTTTCTGACCAAAGACCTTGCTAGATTGTTGTGATCTAAAAACAACGTGTAGCTACATGCTCTTGATCAACAGTAATGTAAATTCATGGGGTTTTATTTTTGAAATGAAGGAAAAAGACTTGCCCCGTCTCATCAATTAAGAAGGTGTAGGGTTGCTTAGTTAATTGGCAAAAACGGGTGAAACCATTACAACGGTCCACACAGGGCAACTCGGCCAACCTAGCTATACACACATGAATACACACACATCGCCGAGAAGAAAAACATTGTCGAGGTTGTTCCCAAGCGTCATCGTTATCACTCCTCCACGAGCCAGCAAGACTTGAGCATAAACGAATATTAATGAAGCCCTTGACGCAACCGGAATCCATGTTGGCTCATGGCAAACAGTTGACCACCCACGCAAGAGACTAGACAACTCCTACTAGGCCAACGAACCCTGCAGGAGAAAATCACTCGGTCCTACGAGAGACTAGACAACTCCTACTAGGGCAACGAACCCTGCAGGAGAAAATCACTCGGTCCTACGCCGACCAGGCCCTTGCAACCGAACACTGTCCCATATCATCCTCACGCACCAAGGCACATGTTTTGCAGCTCCAACTCCACAAGCATAGGACGTGGCACGAGAATCCCTTGAACGCGCCGGAAAACAGAGCAAACCAACATCGATCGAAGCCGAACAAAGGGCCACGCCAATCTGATCCAGGGTCACCGTCCCAGCATCCCCACGACAAGAAGCGGCAGAATCCTCAACCGAAGACGACTCCAAGATGATGCCTTCGGGAAAGGCCACGATGCAGCGTCCGTCTCGAGAGACCTGGAACAAGGGTTTGAGACTTTGAGTTGTGCGCTCGGGTGTCCCTCATCACCGGTGTCGCTCATACCATTTGGGCTGGCAACGGCGCGAAGACGATGCACCGGCAGACCGGGCACGTCGAGTGCTCCTGCAGCCACGGGTCGATGCACTGCTGGTGGAACATGTGCAGGCACGCCAGCAGCCGCTTCACCGTGTCACCCTTCTCCACCTCTTCGAGGCAGACTGAGCACTCCGGCGTGCCGCCGCTGCACTCCGGCTGCTCGTACGCCAGGATGTCATATGCCGTCACCGCCTGCGCGCCTCCATGCACCGGCGCTTCCCTGGCCAGCGCGGGCATGTGGCCCTGTATCTGGTCCAGAAACTGCGGCAGAGCGCTGGTGCCGCCATCGCTACCGCTTCGGCGCCGTAGCCTGGCGCGCGCACACCGGCACGGCGGGCAAAGAAGCTGGCCCGCGGAACGGAGGTGCCGCAGGAGCGCCCGGTTGGTGGAGGCCAAGCACCGACGCAGCACTGTCCACAGGAAGAAGACGCCGCAGAAGGACGTGTACACGGTGGCGCCGGCGCAGACCCAGACGAGGAGGAAGAGCGTGAGCACGACGATGGAGCCCTTGCTGTAGTGGGGCTTTCGCGACACAACGACGAGCGCGTAGAGGATGATGGTTGTGCCGCCGATGCAGACGGTGTTGATGAAGGCCAGCCCGCACGCGCGGACAAAGCACTCCGCGACCATGGCCCCTAGTGTCATGATCACCTGCTATTCACTGGCCGATGGGCACGCAATTTCTCAGGAATTTAGAAGTCTTTGCGGGGATGCCTCGTAAGTCTATGGGCAAGAATTCTGTTGCGTATAGACGAAGCAAGCAACCAGGAAGTGGGTCTCACGATCCGGCTTGGTACGACCGGTTGTATAAGATTTCTTTTCCCCTCTCTACGGCACCTTATATATTTATTACTCCCTCCGTCCAATAATGTAAAGATTCTTTTTCCGTCTCTACAGCGACATTATATATTTATTACTCCCTCCGTCTCAATAATGTAAGACGTTTTCTGATACTAGTGTAGTGTCAAAACAAAGTCTTGTATTATGAGACGGAGGGAATATTAGACTAGAAAAATACCTGTGCGTTACAGGATGAGAATTTTTTTAATATGTATACCAAAACTTTCACCGGTGCTGCACGGTAGCATCCGAATGTTGCCACCCGGCGACAACAGGAAGGCACATGCCGAGGCATGGAAAAAATGCACATCCGCCCTGCATTGATCATAAAACGAGCCTTGACACTGGTGGTAAGGAACACATAGTTCTTCATCAGAGCAACTCTAGCAGATACCCTATATCGTGGTACCGTAAAATCAGTTTACAGATCACCATAAACTGTTTTGCGGTATGAAATTGGGTCTACTAGAACAAATATTGCAAAACTGCACTACAAAAAGAATTCTCCCCATTTGCGGTATGAAATAATTTCAAGTGCCTAACAAATACTAGCAATGTGCATGAATGACCATTGTACTAACTAGTTTAGGTCCTTCCCTAAAAAAACACTATTTCAGGTCCTATACACCCAACGAGAACATAATATAGTTTTGTTTGTTGGTGGGTGCATGACGTTATCATTTGCTTCCGTCCCTACCCATAGTTTCCTTGGTGCTCTTCACAAAAGCCTCAAGAATGGTTACAATAAAGCAATGTCATGCTCGGTTGTACCGTTGTGCATGACCTATTAGGCTATTACCATTCTTATGAAGGTTACATAGCTTCAGGGGTACATTAGCAAGTAATGGTGCATTTGGCAAGTGCATGTAGTTATCCAGGGGAAATACATTCACAATGTCGCAAGATAGAAGAGATTCAACAACCATATGGGGAAGCGGGCCTTGAAGAGGCATATGATCAACTTTAGTAGAGCTCTGAGAAGCCATTCGAGAGAGCATCCTTCTCTCACACATCATCATTGCCTTCACTTTCATTACTAAGAGTGAGATTATTATTACTGGTTGGTCTCCTGCGAAGGAGCTTAGAGTAGCTAATCTTCTTAACTGCAAATTGGGCTCCTTCCCTTTTGTCTATCTTGGCTTGCCCATTTCCCCTTTTAAGTTGTGCACCATGGACTTTGCCCCCTCTATTCTAAAGGTGGGTAATAGGGTTACCCCATTGTCGGTGTCAAAACCGGCGGATCTCGGGTAGGGGGTCCCGAACTGTGCGTCTAAGGCTAATGGTAACAGGAGGCGGGGAACACAATGTTTACCCAGGTTCGGGACCCCCTACCCGAGATCCGCCGGTTTTGACACCGACATTGGTGCTTTCATTGAGAGTTCCACTGTGTCGTCACCATAAGGCTTGATGACTCCCTCAATCATCTACAACGGTGCAATCCAGGGTGAGGTTTTCCTTCCCGGACAGATCTTCGTATTCGGCGGCTTCGCACTGCGGGCCAACTCGCTTGGCCATCAGGAGCAGATCGACACCTACGCCCCTGGCCATCAGGTCAGGTTTGGAAGCCTGAACTACAATGCCAACACCCGCGGAGACTTGATCTTCGACGGATTCGAGCCCGTGAAAGGTGCGCCTCACAGCCGCGATGAGCATGACTTAGATCTGCCATTGGACGGCGGTCAGGAGATCACACCTGCAGCTGCCCCGGCTTTAAATCCGAAGTAGGTCGTGCCATCCGAGGACGGGTGGATGGACCCCGTCACGGAGGCCACACACTTAACGGCGATAGAGCCGAACATGGACCTCCCTTCCAATGAGGTATGTGCCATCGGACCTCTGGACTCGTCTGCGGACATGGACTCCGAACTGCGTGCATCCGTGCCCATCGAATCTAACTAGGCACCGATCATGGAGTTTAGCTCCGCGGATATCTTTCAGCATTCGCCCTTGGGAGATGTGCTAAACTCATTAAAATCTCTCTCCCTGTCAGGAGACTCTTGGCCGAACTATGTCCGGCTCGAGTGGGAAGCGAACGACGAAGGAATTCGTTGCCCACCCACCACCCACTTAATAGCCATTGTCGACGACTTAACCGACATGCTCGATTTCGTCTCCG